GGATAGCATTATTAAGCTATTATCAGCTTCTTCTCCTATAAGAGTTTTATGTATTCCCTGCTCTTGTCAGGTAAACTCATGACGAATATAGTTCAGTGCTAGAATTCTCATCTTCCATGCAGGAGACCTAAGTTCAATTCCCAACAAATGCACCTCATATGTGGCCACTACTTGACCCACAGTGGAGGTTCGTGTATCAGTATGATGTTGAACAGATTTCAGTAACACCTCCAGACTAAGATGGACTAAGAGCAAAGGCTTGGTGATCTATTTCTAAAAATCAGCCAGTGAAAACCCTATTGATCACAATAGTAACTAATCATGGCCATGGCACAAGATCAGGCAGCATTTTATTCCACTGAGCATGAAGTCTCATTGAATCAGGGGCTGTCATAGAGGCAGCTAACGGAATGACAACCACCCCGTAAAGCTTTCTGCATATACAGAATACTTCCCTGCTCCATGTTTGCCTTGATCTCGTGACTTACTCTGACCAATGGAACATTAGCAGATAGGAGCTCTGGTAGCATAGTGCCTAAGGCACTTGACTGCTAACCAGAAGGCTGGCGGTTCAAATCCACCAGCCACTCCTCGGAAGGAAGGTTGGGCAATCTACTTCCATAGTGATACTGCCTCAGAAACCCAAGGAGGGGTGGCTATGAGTCGGGTCCAACTCAACAGCACATAACAACAACAACAACATGTCCCAATGAAAGCTTTAAAAATGTTTTCTTTTTTCCACCTTCTGACTTAACAATAGAATGTCCCAGATGGAAAGTAGGTCAGCTTTGGTTCCAGAGTGACAGCACACATGGAAAAGAACCATATAGCTTGGAGCTACATAGAATTACGCAGAGCCATGAACAAGAAATATTTATTTTGTTGCCATTGTTCTATGCCAACAAATACACTTGAGAGAAAGAAATAAATATGGTTATAAGCCACTGAGATTTGGCTTTCAACAAAAGCTGACTGTATATTGTACCTGGAAGTATATAATATTTTTGAAATAATAATGAGCTGAAAAATTAAAAGAATATATAAAACACCCAGAAATTATTTGATGTGCCTTCATCTATTCATTCATCCATTCAACAACAACAAAAAAAATATTGAGTACTACCATGTAATAGATACTGCTTTAGCTGCTGGAGAAAAGGCAATGAGCCAGCAAACCTACTGCCATCAAGTCAATTCCAACTCTTAGCAACCCTATATGACAAAATGGAACTGCTCATAAGATTTCCAAGACTTTAATCTTGATGAAAAGGACCTCTCCTGACACAGTTGTTAATGCCCTCACTTGATAACCAAAAGGTTAGTGGTTCAAACCCACCAGCTGCTCATCAGGGGAAATTTAAAGCAGTCTGCTTTCTTAAAGATTTACAGCCTTTGAAAACCAAAAGGCAGTTCTACTCTGTCCTGTAGGATTACTATGAGTCAGAATTTATTTGATGGCAGTGGGCTTGGTTTATGAAAACAGCCTGCCAAATCTTTCCCCAATGAAGAAACACATGCACACAGATAGATGGATGATAGGTATCTCTCTATAACATATATACACACACATAAACACTTACTAATTCAGGAGAATTTCATCGAAGAAGAAATATTTGCATTTTGAGCAGAGAAAAGAAGTAAGGGAGGGGCTCAAGTATATTCCAGGAAGAGGAATAAGCAAGTGCAAAAGCCCTGATACTTAAGTGGGCTGGAGTGCTCAAGAATTAGCAAAAAGGTCTTTGTTTTTGTGAGAAGTGAACTAGAGGTACAATGATGGAAGATAAAGTCAGGAAGATGTGAAGTGGACAGTCATTTATTACTTGGATGCTACTGTAAGAAATTTGACTTTTGTTCTGAATGAGGTAGGAATGTTCAGAAAGGTAGATGATGTGATCTTATATTGGTTGGAAAAGATACATTCCAGTTGCTATTTTGAGAATAGAGTATAGAGTTCAAAGGTAGAAGCATAGAAATCATTTAAGAAGCAACTATAATAATCCAGGTCAAGACAATGGTCACTTAGACTCCAGAGAAAGTAGTGAGAGTGATAAGAAGCTATGGATTCTGGATATATCTGAAGAAAATAGCTGACTAGATTTGCCAAGTGACCTAAGCCACTAGAAATAAATGGTCATTTGTAGAGAAAGGGGCACATGAAAGAGTGACAGGATTGATCAGTGACCAATAATCAAAAAGTTATAGAAGTCTAAAAATATATTAAAAGGTAAAGGTAAACTTGTTTAATTCTAATTCTCTTCTTACTGGTCTTCCAGTAAGAGTTCTAGGATAGCCACTGCACAGAGTGGTTAAGGTAATCAGTCGTCTTAGATACTGAGGTGGAAGATCAGAGATCTGTCTCAAAGCTGCAACTGAAAATCTTAGAATCCAGCCCCCTGATCATGTCAGTTCAGGAGCTGGTACTCTTCTGTTCTGACAATAATATACCACAAATGGGATGGCTTGAACAAACAGGAGTTTATTCTCTTACAGTTGGGAGGCTTTAAGTCCAAGTTCAAAGTGCCAGGCTCTAGGGTCTGGGTGAAAGCCCCTCAACCTTGGGCTTCAGCTCTGCCTCCTGCTCCCAGCCCACTAGAGTTAGAGGATTTTCTTCACTCAGACAGCTGCTGGCTACTGAAACTGACAAGCCCAAGGTTGATAAGTAAAAAAGCCTAGTCCCAATGTTACCAAACTACAAGGCAGGCCATTAATTCAAGTCCATTGAAAGTTTCAAAGTTGGCAGAGCATGGCAGACTACTGAACAATGTCTCGGCTGCATGAAGGGTTCAAGCATGCCATAAGCTAGAGACAGTTCCCCAAGGCTTCTCCTTATATACAGGAAGCAGACCACATCCCTAAGGCAGGTATTCAGCTGCTCACAGTAGATTTTACCATGGAATTGATTGGCAGTCTCATCAAGGGGAATACTACATCTAGCTGCCCAGCCACTCAACCAGGTCCAGCCAAGTTGACACACAGACTTAACTACCACATCTTCCAATCAGTCAATGCTGAGGTACAGGACTGAAGGTTAAGTTTTCTGTACCAGAGACTGCTGTTGGATCCCAGTCTTTGATCAATCCAGGGAGGAGGGAGGAGACTGTGCTTTCCTTGTCATGCAATTGAAGAGCCCCACATCTGGAATACCAGGGTCTCTCTCCCTCCAAGAGCTTGATGTCCAGTCCTACTAGATCACTGAGCATTGTCTAGGATGAGTTTCCCCTAAAAACACTATTGAAAGTCAGGGGTGTGCATGTGTGTGTGTTTCCATCATTTGTTCTTGTTACTATCATGACACTTATTAGATATCCAAGTTGAAATGTTAAGTTGGTGGTTAATATACAAGTTTGGAGTTTTGGAGAAAAGGTAGGGATGGAGATACATATCTGGGAAAGATGCATTCATTTTTGATGGATAAAACTTTGTAACATGGAGAAGAAATGGTTGACCACAATTTTTAGGAATATTTAAAGGGTAACTTGAGAGTAAAACATCGCTTAAGATAACCCAAAATGCACAAACACCTGAAGATAAACTAGATGAATGGGATCTTCTAATAATTAAATTTTCATGTGCTTCCAAAGACTTCTCCAAAAGAGTGAAAAGAGAAGCTACAGACTGGGAAAAAAAAAATATTCAGCAATGACATATCTGACAAGGGATTTATCTCTAAAATTCTAACACTACAACAATAAAAAGATTAACAATCCAATTAAAAATTGGGCAGAAGACATGGATAGACACTTCACCAAAGAGGATATTCAGGTGGTCAACAAGCACATGAAGAAATGTTCACAATCATTAGCCATCAGAGAGCTACAAATCAAAACAACAATGAGATACCATCTGGCCCCAGCACTAATGGTGAAGTTTAACAATACAGAAAATAACAAATGCTGGTTAAGATGTGGAGATATTGGTTCTCTCATACACTGCTAGTGGGACTGTCAAATGATACCACCACTATTGAAAGCAGTATGGAGTCTCTTTAAAAAGCTGGAATTAGAAATACCTTTTGACCGAGTAATTCAATTACTAGGTATATATCCTAAAGAAGTGAGAGCCAGGACAAGAACAGATATATTTACACCCATGTTCATCACAGCATTATTTACAATAGCAAAAAGATAGAAACAACCTACGTGCCCAGAAACACAAGAGTGGATAATCAAACTATGTTACATACACACAATGAATACTATGCAACACTAAAGAATAATGTAGAATCTGCAAAACACCACATAGCATAGATAAACTTGGAGGACATTATGCTGAGTGAAATGTCAATCATAGAAAGGCAGATATAGTATGAGTCCATTATTGTGAAAAGTTGAGTAAAGATTTATATATGGAAGGAAAATTTCTTTGTTGGTTACCAGGGCTGGGGGTGGGGAGGGAACACTGCAGGGGAAAAGGAAAAAAAAAAAAAAAAAAGCATTGACCTATGTCACTTTAGTTTTGTGTATTTGGGCAATCTACTTCCATAGTGATACTGCCTTGGAAACCCAAGGAGGGGTTGCTATGAGTCGGGTCTGACTCAACGGCACATGACAACAACAACAACAACAAATTCTATATAAATAAAATGTATTAAAAAAAATCACTGAAGGTAACTAGGAGGTTAATATCAAAATTCCAACAAATGTGACTGTTAAGCAACTGCTTTACTTCTTATAATCTCTAAAATATAGTAAAATTAAAGTTTAACTTCAGGCATGATTTCCTAATTATTTTGCAGAAGATGAGACATAGACATAACTGATTCAAGCTGTTTGCTATGTTTGCAAAGATTTTAAGAGTAATTACCAGCAAAAATTTATAATAATCATTTCCAGGATTAATATATTTGAGAAACAGTATAGAAGTGAAAGCATTTTTGAATATTTATGGAAATGAAATATTGACATCCTTGGCAATTTCCAAGTAAACGGATTTTTAAATATATGTGTGTGTGGAAGGTGTGCATGGGGGGTGGCTGTGTGTGTGTAAATGTTCTCTCTTACCAGGGTAGAGGGTACAGTCCATAAATGACAAATCATCAATTGCAATGTCTCCAGTGAAGCCATCTCCCACAGAAGCCTCCACCAAAATCTAAAAGGGGGAAGAGGGGGAAAAAGAAAGAACTTTGTTGATATTTTTAAGGAAGTAAATTTATGGAACCTCAGAGCTCTGGTAGCATAGTACCTAAGGCACTTGACTGCTAACCAGAACTGGTGGTTCAAACCCACTAGCCACTCCTTGGAAGGAAGTTTGGGCTATCTACTTCTGTAGTGATACTGCCTCGGAAACGGAAGGAGGGGTCGCTGTGAGTTGGGGCCAACTCAACGGCACATAACAACAACAACAACAACATGCTTGAAAATAATTCAGAAGTTATCTAAGCTAATTGTGATAGTTGGAGCTGTCAACTTGGCTGGACCACAATTCTGTGTGGCTTGAAGTGTTGTGGTGTGGTTGTTCCCATGATGGGATCAGATGACTATGCTCTGAGTGGTAAATCTGTTGATAGGGAGTTTCCCTAGGGGTGTGGCCTTCTTCCAGTATATTCAAGGACATCCTGGGAAGAGAGACATTCTTCTGTGGATCGGGATTCTGTTGTGCTGTCCATGAGTGAACAGTCCACTATTCGGCATGGAGATCTTGGATTCGTCATTCATTGGAGTCAACGCCGGTGTACTGCCTGCCAGCCTTGAGCTCCTCAGCCCTTGTGGTTGCAAGAGCCAGGAAAAGCCTCCAGCTTGACGTTTGATCCAGGAACTTTGTACTTGCCAGCTTCTATAAGTGTGTGAGCCATTTTCCTAAGATAAATTTCTATATATTGATACATATATATAAGCTTTACTGGTTTTTGTTTCT